ACATGGTGAAAGAAAACAAAGAAAATTAGGATAAGGATTGTTTCAGAATGAGTTTTAGTAATTAAAATGAATAGATTTATTTTAGTAGCTTGTATTTTTATGACTTTAATTTTTAAATACTGTGTAGATTATGAGACTAATGACAACCATATAGAGGAGATCATCTTATGATCATGGCTCGTTGGTAATGCGGTTACTAAAGCTCCCCTTGGATGGAATTCAGAAGGAGAATTTCCTTTTATACAGAGTTTCTCTCTTTAACAAAGAGCCCTACTGTAGGACTCAGGATATTTTTATATATCATTTAGTCTTTTAAACTATAGGCTATAATATACTTGAATATGCATTGATAAATTTATCCCTATATCATGTTTTTTGGTTTTTTGTAAATAATATTGCTTTCTAAATTCAGTTTCCAATTATTCCTTGCTAGTATAGTAATACAATTTATATATATATATATGTGTGTGTGTGTGTGTGTGTGTGTGTGTGTGTGTGTGTAGAACCTTATATTCTGTAACCTTGATAAATGTGTTAGTTCAATTAAACTTTTAAAAAATTACTTAAAAATCACTACATATACAATCATGTTATCTGAAAAGAAAAGTAGTTTTCTTTCTTCCTTTTTGATCTGGCTGCTTTTCATTTCTTTTAATTGCTTTTTTGTACTGACAGGAATCTCCAGTACAATATTGAATAGAAAGGGTGAGAGTGAACATCCTTGTTTTATTCCTGATCTTAGGGTTGATACATTGTGTTTTTCACCATTTAAGAATTATGTTGTAGGTTTTTCATATTTATCACTTACCAGTATGAACAAGTTTCCTTCTGTTCCTAGTTTGTGAGAATTTTTATCATGAATGCATGTTAGATTTTGTCAGTTACTTTTTCTATATTTTTTGAGATAATCTTACAATTTATTTTGTTAATATGGTCAGTTATACTGAATTTTGAAAGTTAAACCAACCTTACATTCCTAGGATGAATCCAACTTGGTCATGGTGTATTTTCTTCTGAAGAATCTTTGCGTCTGTGTACATGAGGGATATTTCCTGTAGTTCCCTTTACTTGTAATGTCTTTGTCTAGTTTAGGTAACAAAACTGGGAAGGGTTCCCTTCTCTTCTATTTCCTAAGAGTTTGTATAGAATTGGTATTGTCCCTTAACTGCTTAATAGAATTCGCTAGGCAAGCTGCCTGTGCCTTGGGTTTTATTTTGGAGAAGTTTTGAATCATGAATTCTATTTTTTTAATTGATATAGAGCTATTCACATTTTCTTCTTAAGAAAGTTTTGATAATTTGTAGCTTTCAAGATGTTTGTCCATTTCGTCTAAATTGTTGAATTTATTGGCACAAACTTGGTTTATAATATTCCCTTATCATACTTGTAATATCTGTAGGATCTGTAGTGATGCCCTCTCTATTGCTACTGATATTAATAATTTATATTTTCTGTCTTTGAGCCTAGTGAGGGGCTCAGTGATTTAATTGAACTTTTCAAATCACTAGCTTTTGATTTTTTTTTTTCCTATTAATCATCCATTTTGTGGTCATTGATTTTCTCATTTATCATTATTTTGTCCTTTCTTCTTATTTCGGTTGATACTGGCATAAAGATAGACATAGATAAGTGGAATACTGAGTCCAGAAATAGATCTGTATAGATCAAATAGGCCAAAGAGATGGTCAGTTAATTTTCAAGGGATAGTGCAAAAGTAATTCAAGGGGGAAGGATAGTCTTATTAAGACACTATGTGAGAATAACTGGTTATTACTATTGAGAAAAATGTGTCTATACCTTTACTCCATACCAGAATCTCCCTTCAAAATGAATCATATATCTAAATATAAGAACCAAAACTACAAAAAAAAAAAAAAAAAAAGGAGAAAATCTTTGCAATCTTGGGATAATCAGAGATTTTCTAGGTAGGACATAAAAAGCATGAATGAAAAAAAAAGATGCACTGGACATCATCAAAATCTAAAACTCCTGTTCTTTGAAAGACACTGTTAAGAAAACAAAAAAAGCAAACTACAGTCTGGGAGAAAATATTTGCAAAACTTTATCTTAAAACAAACTTGTGTTTAGAATGTACAGCCACTCCTTACTTATCAGCATGGTTAGGTTCCAAAGACCAAGTCGTTATGCGAAAATCAGTGTTATGTGAAAATGGAGGATGACCAAATCAGATCACAAAGTGGAGGATGACTACATCATTACATAACTGCCAGATTGTATCATTACATAACTGCCAAATCACATCCTTACATAACTGCTAAATCACATCATTACATAGCTGCCAAACCACTGAGAATCATGGCCTGGCCAAGTTGACACACATAACCATCATAGCCAGCGTTACTCTCACCTCGCACCTTGGCATTTGTTACTGCCAGACGTACGTTGTTAACGTGCAAAGTAGTAGGGTAGTAGATTTTTTACTGTTGTCATAAATGCTAAATGTTGGATAATGAGATAGTTGATACGTGAGGAGTAGATGTATAAAAAACTCTCAAAACTTTGTAATAAGAACACAAACCACCCAGTATTAAAAATGGGCAAATACTTGAACAGACACTTCACAAGCAATTTATACATAATGAAAGATGTATGAATGACCAGTAAGCACATTAAAAAATATTCAACAACTTTAGTAATGAGTGAAATGCAAATTAAATCACAATGAGCTAACACTTCACAGCCACAAAAATGCCTAAAATGAAAAAGACTGACCAAACTAAATGCTGGACAGGCTCTAGAGCAACTGGAAAGCTCATACATTGTTGGTAGCAATGTAAATGTTACAACATCTTTGAAAAACAATTTGGCAGTTTCATATAAAATTAAACCCACACTTTGAATATTATGCAGCATTCTCATTTCCAGATTTTACCCAAGAAAAATGAAAACATGTCCCCACAAAGACTCATATAAGAATGTTCATAACAGCTTTATTCACAGTAGCGCCAAACTAGAAGCAACCCAAATGTGTATCAGCAGGTATATTACTCAGCAGTAAAAAAGTAATGAACTAGCGATGCATGCAACAACATGGATGAACCTCAAAAACATTATGCCAAGAGATGGAATCCAGACACATGAGTTCATGCTGTATGATTCCATTCATGTGAAGGTCTATAAAAAATCAGATCTGATCTATCGTGACCGAAAGCAGATGAGTGGTTGCCTGAAGTCAGGAGTTGGCTGAAGGTCGTAGGAGAAGGGGGAGAATAGGGACAGAATGGGAAGCTTTTGGAGTATTGGAAGTGCATCTTGATCGTGGTGGTAATTAGCAGGTGTGTATGTTGTCAAACTTAGCAAACTGTGTCCTTATAATGAATGTAGTTTATTATACGTAAATTTTGCTTCAAAAAAAGAGTAACTTTCTTTTTCAGTGGTTGTCAAATCTGCCTGCACTTCAGAATCATCTGCTAAGCTTTTTAAAATGCATGTTCCTTTACCCTACTTCGTATTCAAGGAATCAGAGTCTCCAGCAGTAGGCCTGCTCACTTGAATTTTATAAATGTTGCAAAGATGATTCTCATTCTCAGCTGGAGTTCAGAAATAGTGTTTTCTTTGCATGACCTCTCATTCTTAAGACTTCCAGGACCTACTCAAGTAAAATTTTAGTTATAAAAGACATTACTTATTTTTTCATGTTATTCACATCTCCACTTTCATGAATGGATTTAAAAGGAACTTTAAGTTCACTTAACTTAATTATTATGAAAGCTTTGTTGTTTTTCATAGCATATACATTTATTATAACAGAAAGTACAAGAACAAAAACTTTCCCATTATACCACATTTTTGAGTATGAAATGAGAAGTTAGAGTCTCCCTTCTCTTCCCCAAACTCTATACCCCTAATTAGTAATAATTTGATGAACATGATTATAGATATTTTTCCTATGCTTATAGAAAAGGAACATATATCTAGTATTGTATATTGTCAAATATTCGTTTATTTAAACAGTATATGCTAATTCCTTGCTCTGTGCCAGCCATTATTGATTAAATAATAACACAAACATATTTTTTAACTGTAAGAAGTGTTAAAAAAAAAAAAAAGGCAAGTATAGAATGTTACGAGAGTACGTAGTAGAATTTAAAACCTTTTCTGACCTTTTTACCCTAGTTGAGATCCATGCTTTGAAAAGTTTGCTTTTTGGAAAGCATTTACATTTCCTCAGTATAATGATAAACTGTTCAGTTGGGTAAAACATCTCACATAGGAATATCCTTTTATTAAAGTATTTTTTCTTTCACTGCTTGTTAGTGTTTTTGCATTATTTTAAAACATATCAAGAAATCGTAAGGATTTAACTATAATGCCAAAAAGTATTTATATGTCAGCAAATATTTATAAGTATCTCCCTAAGCCTTAGTCTGTGATTGTCACTATACAGTATTTCATTACTGAAAACAACAACAGCAGTTTGAAAGTGGCAGTTTGTTCTAGCAGTATATTTTTGGTATTAGTAGAGGGGTTATTGATGTTGGGATGAATCAAACACGTGTTTCTTAAAATATATTACACAAAATACTAATTGCTTATAATGTTAATGGAGAATAGGTGTGATGGAAGTTTTGTGCTCTAATATAGGGTTAAATGAACTTGAGTACTTTCAACTCTGGGGCCTCTTAGACCCTTTAGTATGTTATGTTGTGAATCTTAAGAGGGAGCTGTAGCACACAGTGACTCTCTGACCATGAAACCCTGTTTATTTTACACCTTATCTTTCCATGAATAGACATGTAGGGGGATAAATCTGCTAGTAGCATCTAAAAACTCATAATGGCATATTTAAAAAAATGTGTAATAATTTTAAAGTAAAAACATAGTTGGGCATGATTTTGTCATTTATGGGTACTAGATCTGTATTTTGTGTCTGTATATTGAAATTTTGTGAATTAATTTAAACATAGTGAGTCATTTCTCCATTTTTGCATCCTGAAATGGTAGAGGAAAGTGAAATTTATGTTTCTCTTATATTTCAGAACAAAGTAGAAGAGATGATTTAGAAGCTTTAGGTCATATGTTCATGTATTTTCTGAGAGGCAGTCTTCCTTGGCAAGGTTTAAAGGTAATTGTTTTTGTGTTTCCTTATTGAATTTTATAACGTACTAATATATATTAAGGTCCTCTCTTCCAACTAAATGCTTTTAAAATTCTTACCTTCTCAAGATTTTTTTTTTTCTATTTTAGGCTGATACATTAAAAGAGAGGTATCAGAAAATTGGAGATACAAAGCGAGCCACACCAATAGAAGTGTTATGTGAAAATTTTCCGGGTAATGAATAATGCCAAATTGATACATGTGCTTATACACTGGAAACCAGAACTGTTAATTTTCATTGCTTAAGTTTATAAATACATTTTTTTTCATGCCGTAAAAAAAAATGAGTTCAAAATGTGATTTAAAAGGTGCCATCATTTTATCCATAGACCACAGGGCAGTTTTGTGCGTTTGATTTGCAAGATGGTAGTAGAAGAAAATTCCATTTCTTATCAGTGTAGACCATTACCACCTGAAGTAATATTTTCTCTGAGGACATACTTGTAGTAAGTTAAAATATTTGCTAAGGAATACTAGGTGTAAAATTTTGGTGTACGATGCTAGCCATTTGGGTCTCCATGTCATGCTCAAAAGAGGTATGTGAAGTATGATTTAGTTTACTTTTGAGAAGACAGTAAAACCTAACTAACCTTACTCATTTCAGGCTAATTTTATGTTGGGTAGCAGTATGGATTTATGAAAATAATTTAGTTTTCAAGTAGATTATGACAGCTTAAGTTAAGCTAACAAAAATTTACTTAATACAGGTTCTAAATCAACCTACTAAGAATAATTTGTTATTAATGTAATAAAATACCTGCTGTGTTTTGTGTGGCTGTGTAAAGTGGAAAGAGAAGAAACTAGGATTGATATAATTTATTTTAAACTTTTTATTTATGCGTTTCTCTTCCTATAACATCTAGAACTGAAAGATTTAAAGAAAATCCGTTGATGGTACTAGCAGTTTATGTGTAGACAGATTGGCTGTCATTAAATTACTGCAGGGAAGAGGGGGGTGCCCAAGTAAATTAGACAGGTGACCAGCTGCAAAGTGGAGTAGTGACAGGGTCAACATGTAAGGAAGGTCACTGGGTACTACTTTTGTTTCCCATTGGTCTGTGTATCATCCTGTTCTTAATGGTTACTGTGAATGAATTGGAGCAGAAAAGCAACTTGGCATAACCTACCATCTCTTTCTGTGGTGATGATCTCTGCGCTGATGGTAAAACACTCTGTTGCTCACCATTTTGTCTGTTGAGTTTTATGGCTTTTTTATCCTTTTCTTTCTGGAAAGCATGACTTAAAAAAAAAAAAAATTGAGCATTACAGTGGTGTGCAGAGATTTGTATATTATGAAATAATTGTTAATTATATGACCAGAAAATAAGACTTACACTGTGTTCCTGTATTATATTTTGGAGATCATTTTTTAACTTTATTTAGCTAGCTCAGCTGATTAGCACTGCTCATAGCCAAATTTGTGAGTTTTAATCCTGTATTGGTCAGTTAATGTATACCACCGGTTCTAAAGGGACTCTAGCAAACCAGTGTGAATGCTTCCATATAAATCATTTCCCACTAATATTTTAAAATTTAAACTTATGGGCTGATTATGGTGCTTTGTGATTAAGTAATCATACATTTTAAGTTGATAATTCAACGTCTAATACTATCAAAGATATTAAAAATAATAATATAAAATAAAAACTTTAACCTTTTCTAAATGAAGCAAAAATAATGGTTGTTAAACTAAACTTCTCATTTCTCTTTTGTCCCTATTTTCTTTTTCTCTTTTTAATTTTATTATATTAAAATTCAAAGGATTTAAAATTGCAATAGAATTTTGTTATATTTCATGCTTTTATAATATAGCCTGCTTTTAGACATTTAAAATGTTATTATTAATGACAATTATAAAAGAGTTCAATCAAAATAATTTTAATTTCCCTTATAGAAGAAATGGCAACATATCTTCGTTATGTAAGAAGGCTAGATTTTTTTGAAAAACCAGACTATGACTACCTAAGAAAGCTTTTTACTGATTTGTTTGATCGAAAAGGATATTTGTTTGATTATGAATATGACTGGATTGGTAAACAGTTGGTGAGTACTATGCTATATAATAAAAACTATTTATAGTATTCATCTTTTTAACAGTACAAATCCTTCAATTGAAAAGAGTTGAGAACAAATAATTTTTAAAAATGATTCATTTTATTTCCTTTGTATGGACGTTTCTTAAGGTAGTACAGTGCTAAAATTATTCTTTGAATTTTGTTGAAAACCCTACATTTGGACTCCCTGCATTCTAGAATAATAAGTTATTTTGGACTTTTTATTCCCGATTTAGTTCTTATGTCAAATACACTTTTTTTGCATAATATTCTAATGATTAAATGTCAGCTAATTTTGTTTACTCTAGTGGTCTTTTAAAATATTTGTTATTTATTTTTTAAAATAAGTTTTACTTATTATGACAGTCTTACTAAGACAGTGATAATACTATACGTAGTCTTTTAGGATAGATTGATACTTATAAATTGGAGTATGTTTGAATTTTTAAAAATGTACTCAGTTTTTGCAGGTTTTATAATTGTAATTGTGAGATGGGTGTTCCCTCATTTAAAGAAATGTCATTAAATTCTTTCTTTGAAGAGACAATTCTTAAAAAATTGAATATTTACT